GTACCTCTCGCCTAGCCATCGCCTATCCAGTCGCCACGCGACGAGGGGAAAAGAGAAACGCGACGAGGGGGAGGGAGACGCGCGACGAGGAGGAGGGAGAAGCTCGACGAGAGGGAGGGAGGAGCGCAACGAGGGGGAGGGAGGGGCGCGACGGCAGAGCAAGTATCGCGAGAAGAGTAGCGCGAAGGGCGGGAGAGCGTGCTTTCGCAAGAGAGGGAGGCGACGCGAGACAGAATTGGCGGGACGGGAGAGGTGAGAAACGACGAGAGTGTACGTTACCTTGTCTGGAGTGCTGGGGAACTTTCCTACCTTGTGGCTGCCACCATGGACTTGAGTCCCAAGAACGCAGACGCTCTGTATCTTGATTTTCCAAGGGGTATGGACCTGTGGAGGCACTTCGTTGTGCGACATCACACGCGACAGTGGGCTCTTGGGTGGCCAATCCCCTCCCGTCGTTTTTGTTTTCCAACCAGTCGCACAGTTATGGGGTAACCCTGTTGGCGTTGGTTGGGTTGGCGAGGGATAAAAAAACAAAGACCGAGTCTTGGTCTTACTTGGGCCACGCGCTTTAACCAGCTAGGAACTCTAATTCCTTTGCTGAGTCATTAGGAGAGCGTTGTGATTCACGCGTCGCGGTTCTGAATTGCAAAACTGCGTAACCCTATTATCGAATCTCGCGTTCGTTTTTCAGGCGTTGCAACTTAGAACCTTTCCTCTCGCACGACGCTGATCGCCCGACGCTGCTCGTGCGACTCTTGATCGTGCGACGCGTTTCGTGCGACCTTGCGTCGCGTGCGACGCGATCGCATGGCGATCCCGGTGCCGTACATCGCGTCGGTGGCGGGTTTCATCTTCTTCATCCACGCCGCGTTCTTCACAGCGTACTGTACGCGTCTTGGATAACCCTTGTAACCCTGTAACATAATAACATGTTGCGTCACTGGCGTCGGTTGCGGGGTTCTCCTTCTTCATCCACGCCGCGTTCTTCACGGCCTACTGTACGCATCCTCTAGAAGCCTGAGTCTCAGGAACCCCCGATCATCCCAAGTCCTGGTAACCCTGATAACCCTGGTCGTTAGTAATCCTAATCCTGTCGGGGGGTTCATCTTCTACATCCACGCCGCGTTCTTCACGGCGTACTGAACGCATCCTAAGCCTTAGAAACCCGAATAACGGGGATCGTCAGTCTTCCTAAGCCTTAGTAACCTGTTACGTCACTTGTAACTGTAGCGGTTTCATCTTCCATGCCGCGTTCTTCGCGGCGCCCTGTACGCATTCGTCTCGCGTTACAGTTCCGTGATACGCGAGTCGAGCGCTACCGCTCGCGTACGGTAGCGCGGCGCCCGTCTCGCGGCGCCCTGTACGCACTCGTCTCGCGTTACCGCTCCCGTGTACCCTTCTGAGCGATGCCACGTCACGCAGTGGTTCGCCGAGCATAGTCTACAGTTTCTTGGTTGTTTTTTGAGGCGCCTCAAATATTTTCGCGATTCGCTGAGCGTAGTCTCAATTTTCTTGATTGCAGCATAATTCATTTTCGTGTGACTGATTATGGTGCGAATGGTGGTGATGCCGAATGGCTCCGAATGGTTCTCCTTCGTGTGACTGATGTTTGTGCGAATGGTTGACTGATTTCGCCACAGACCGGGAGCAGCTGAAGGATCTGGACCAGCCTTTCATTCTGCCGCCCACTCAGGTCAGTCTGCCGCCCACTCAGGTCAGTCTGCCGCCCACTCAGGTCAGTATGTCGCCCACTCAGGTCAGTCTGCCGCCCACTCAGGTCAGTCTGCCGCCCACTCAGGTCAGTCTGCCACCCAATCAGGTCGGTAGGTGACTCTATCTAGCTATCCTCCACTTTCTCCTATAGGCTCCTCTCTCCATCATTCCCCCCATGCCTTTTCCTCCGCCCTTGTGCTCCCTTGCATGCCCCCCCCATCCCCTTGGTCTCATCGTCCGTCTGTTGCCTTTCCTTGCCCAATTCTCTCCTCATCCCTCATCTCCATCCTCCTCCACTCATACCATTTCCTTGCCTCCTCCTCTCCCATCCTCGTCCACTCATTCTCCCTTCTTGCTATTGCTCCCGACACCCATTCCCCCTCTTCCTTCTCCCCCTCCCTCCCCCCCACCCACCCGGTTCCCACCTCCCCCCTCCTCCCCTCCTCCCCTCTCCCCCCCCCTCCTCCCCTCCTCCCCTCTCCCCTCCCCGCTCCTCCCATCCCCCCCCCCACTTCGTCCCCTCGCCAGGTCTTCATGGAAATCGCTGCTGGCCTCTTCTTCACCATCTGGGCAGCTGTGAACCTTCCAGGAGACTTCCTGCCCATTCAATTGTCTGAGGATGTGAACAGGTACCCGCTCCACCACCACGTCATAAATTTCAGCAGAACAGGTCACTGACACAAGCGTGGGGGAAGGTGTCACGGGAACAGGTCGGTGCTGCAAGAACAAGGTTAGTGTCACAAAAACAGGTAGAGTGCTGGAGTGTCAACAGCTATCGTCTTCGCTGCCTGCTGGCTGCTTCCCTCACTGACAGTACAGTTCATTCAGGCAGTCTGAATTTGGCTTCTATACTTACTGTTTGTGGTGTCAATCAAATCCTTGCTGTGTTCCGTGCATTTCCCTGCCAGGGTGGTGCAAACACCAGTCCCGGTGGACTTCTTGTGCTTCTATCACAGGGCGGCTATCTCTCCTCCCCTTCCTCGCTTTGCCTTCAAGGCCGGCTCTCACTATCTATGGTGTTGTATTGTTCAATGTATCCGTTCTTGTGTTCCCTGCCTTTCTCTGCCAGGGTGGTGCAAACACCAGTCCCAGCGGACTTCATGTGCTTCTATCACAGGGCAGCCATCTCTCCTCCCCTTCTTCGCTTTGCCTTCAAGGCCCGGCGATGAATGAACCCCCCTTGCTTTGCTACAGTCATGGTTTCCCTGCAATAAATTTGGATAGGAAGAGGAGACAGCCGATGGCTTGCAGCATGTGTAAAATTTTCAGCCTTACGCATTGGCATCAGCAATTGGAGCAAGCTTGTGTTCCTAATTAACCCTCTCAATGACACTTTTTGTAGGAAACTGTTAGGGCAAACAGGTGCGTGATATGGTGTAGATAAATGTTGTAACGAATAAAATTTCCCGATTTTGGAGCACTCCTCCAGGCTCCAACATTTTTACCACCTCGGCTCTGTTGAGAACCAAATATAGAAACACCCCTCAACTTGGGATATGCCAGGGTCTCTCGGTTTGAATAGATTTTTACAAGCAGGGATATCGTGGTAAGAAGGCAGCATGTGATGTGATGTGATGGTGCCACCTCGCTTGGCATCAAGCCATCCATGTAAGAAGCGTGTGAGCCGCAGCCGTTCCAACTCACGCGGGCTGCTGCTACCCCCCGACCGCACGACACACCATGCCTCGTCCGCGCTGGCAGAAGCAACAAATCATTGGGATTTCCAAGCTGTTTTTGTACGCCTCAGAAGCAAACCTCGTTATTCGCGTGCGTGCATCTTGTCTTGTCTCTTCGTGGCTGATGGTGGCTGGCGTGCGGATGAGGCAGGTGTTGGTTGGTCAGCGCGTGGCATCACTTGTGAGGGTCGAGCAATTCCTTCCAAGACCAAAGGCGCTACAGCGCATCCCAAACGACTCATGATGAGGCACATATTTACGATACAGTAAAGCGGTACCATGTTCAGCCTCTTCTCCCCCACCATTCCCCATGTTGCTCAAAATGTATTGTATACACCTTCTCAAGTAAGTTTTGTTATATTGATTTCCTAAGCCAAATGTTTCTTATGTGACAACTAAAACTGACATTTTCTGTATCCTCTACCCATGAATTCCACGAGATGCAACAGATTGACCCAGGAAGTTGGAAGCACTTGGCCGCAAGCTGCATTCGCAACCCTGCAAAAAGATTTGGGTGATGACAGGATCACGCATGTTTGTCAGGTTCCACTGTTCGTCGAGTTGAAGCATCACTCGAATCATTAATTTGCATTGATCCACGGTCCACCGCTTCCCTCGTTCAAGCATAGAGAATGGTGGCACAGAGGGGGTGGGGAGGGGATGTTACAGTACAGCGGTCAGTTGGGTTGTGTGAGCCTTGAATGAGAGGCTCGGTGTCTGTCTGGAGGATGAATGCGCAGCTTCGGCAGAACGCGCGCCGCCCCAAAGGAGCTGCCCCAACCTCGGGAATTGTGGTTCGTTCATAACTGTCCCACACCCTCCAGGCCAATTTTGAGCTTTCATGGGAGCCCCCTTGACCAAACATCTGACTCAACCAATCAAGTAGTTCCCCCGTCCCTGAGCATTTGGTAAGTTACTCGTGGATGAATGCCTGTTTTCCGCGGTTTGCTGCTCCTTTCTGCCTGCCCGCGCTCCGCCTTCAGTGCACCTCACCCCGAATCAAGCCAAACCATTCCATCCCATCCCAGACTTCGCCCCGCCCCAAATCACCGCTCCTCTCCAACCAGGGAGTCAGGTTTTTGCTGCAACGCTGCCCCACTGTGCCGCCCACTGTCGCACCTATCAGATAGGTTCGGCTGCCACTAGTTGGCGCCAGCACCCAGGTTAGGGCAATGGCAAGGCGGGAGACAACGGAAATCCCTTAGCTTGCAGGTTGCTTGCATCCCCTGAGATGCGAAACTGTCCTGTACTCTTGTCAACTTGTCGGGAGTCGGGAATCTCCATTCTCACATGGCGGTTCATTTCCGTTCGTCGGATTTCCCTCAACCTCGATGTTGCCTGCTCCTCCCACGTGATGAGAAATTCGTCCTCCCCTGACCTCCCCTCCCCTCCTTTTCCCAACCTCACCCAAGGGGGTGTTTGGAACGTTGCGAAACCGAGATTTTTTTCTCTCATACCGGTCTAAAAGCAGCAGAAACCGTACTGTACTGTAGACACCCCCTAATCCCTCCTTATCCTCTCTTCCTTACCCCCTCTCCTTGTCTTTCCTCTTCCCTATTTTCCTCTCCTTCCTCCATGGGGATTGCCATTTAGCTCTCCAACTTCTCGCGAGCAGCAGCAACTTGCCCTGAGCATGTGACCTGCTTCATTCAACCTCTCGTGTAACATAATGCATTGAGCTCACCGCCAAAGATTAGTTTTTGCTCTCTGTACTAAGTCGACGGAGCATCTCAAGGCTATCTTAGTATACTTCCCATGGTAGTGTCTTTAGAGCATTAATCACTCGCCATTCGAAATGAACGTGGGGGTCTCCGCGCGACCATCCCCCCCCGACACCATGCATCCATCCGACCACTTCGCGTCAAGCCACCCATTCGCAGATCCCTCCATCTGTCTCGCAGCTCGGCTCTCTTCCCCAGACTACCTCTCCGCAGCGCTCGGCTCGTCCCCATCTGCGCGCTGCGGATCCGAAGCGCTGAAAGCCGGCGCGTGCCGGCCAGCAGGTAGCCTGCGGGAGCGGGCCTCCTTGCTCGGTGCGCAGGGGTTGGAGCAGGAATGGGCGGGTCAGGGTTTGGAGCAAGAATGGGCGGCTATTTTTGGAGACGATGACGGAGATTCCGGGATTGACGGAGATGCCTGGATTGACGGGAAAAATGGGGGTGAACGGGAGGTTGAGGACGAGGAGGAGGAGGAGGACGTACCTTGGGAGGTGATAAGCTCGCGGCTTCGGCAGCAACTACAGCAGGTGCTGCAGCAGCAGAAGCAGCAGCACGTTCAGCTGACGCACGCGCGGTTACACGACGGTTCCCGCGACGGTTACCACGACGGTTACCATGGTCAACGGCACGCGCAGACGGCGCTCGGACACGTGCCGCAAGCCCAACATGGCGCCTCGGCGCAGAAAGATCTGATTCGCAGCCGCGTAGAGAGCGGTCCTCATTCGGAGCAAGCTGAGAGTAAAGACCGCCAAAGCAGCCAGAGGCCGGGTATCTCCAGGGACGGTGGCACCAGGGACGGTTGTACCAGGGAAGGCAGCAGCAGGGCGGAGAGCAACTGGCTGGCGCAAGCATGCGCGGAAGGCAGGGGGAAGCAGGCGGACAGACGAACGGGTAGCCGTAGATCTTTCGATGTCGTTAGATCTGCCCGTAATCCCGTAACGGAAACCGTTACCGTTAACGTTTCCTTCCCCGGTTCCGCTTCGGCTTCGGGTTCCGCCAATCGTGACTGCTCCGCCCACTCTTCGCTCGTGCCGCTGCAGCAGCGCCGGCGAAGCGTTTCCGAAGTGCCGCTGCTGGTAAGCGTGCCGAAATCTTCGCTAGAAAGATTCGCGCTGGGGAACAAGAAAGGCTCTCCGCCGCTTCCGCCGTCCGCCCGCCAAGGCGCATGCGCTTCCCCCAGCCCCAGCGACCGCCAACAGAAAGCCTGTCCCGCCTTCTCGTCCCCGCGCTCTCCCCGCAGCAATCTTTCCGCGCAAGCTTTCCGCGCTTCCTCGCTCTCCCCCGATTCCCCGTCCATATCCCCGCGCGCCTCCTCCGCCGCCCCTTCTTCTGCGCCCGCGCCTTCCCGAAACGCGGAGAGTTACAGAGAAGATCTAGATTCTTCGGACGAGGAGTTCATAGCCGCTTACTGCCACATCACCGGTTCCCCCACTCCCCCCGACCGCAGCCCCGCCGCGGGGTCCCCGATAACCTCCCCCCCTTCCGCCTTCCGCGGGCCCGACAACCGCGCGCTTCAGAAGAGCGCGAGTTGCCTGGACGGGCGGGGGGAGCTGCGCCAAGCGTCGCTGCGCGCGCAGGCGGGGCGGAAGCAGGCGCAGGCTAGGGCGCAGGAAACGTCGTTGCGCAATGGCGGAGGGAGCGGCGGAGCGAGCGGCGCAGCAAACGGCGCGGCGAGCGGCGCAAGGGACGCGCATGCGCTGGCAAGGGTCCTAGAAGCGGAAGACGTTCCGCAGCGGTCTTACACGGCACCACAAGCGCGGGCTAAGGCGGCGCCTTTTGCGGCGGTTAATAAGGCGGCTTCCGCGCAGCAGAGCCTAGAGCAGCAGAAGCACCACCTGAAGCAGCAGCTGCAGCAGGCGCAGCAGCTAAGGGCGGAAATAGGCGGCGGATTCAGCGGCAGCGGATGTAGCGGGCCGAATCTTGAGCGGGGAACAGGGCACGATTTGGGCGGCAAGCAGGCGGGAAGCGCCGCCGCGCACGGAGCGCGCGGCATAGTAGGGGCAACTGGGGGAGGCTCGTCCGTGGGGACTCAGCCGCCGAGCCTTGCGCAAGCCAGATCCAGAGGCAAAGGGGGACACGCGGAGACTCCGGCTGGCGGAGCGGTTTCCGCGGGTGCGCAGAAGCTGTTACGGGCGGGGTCGCAGTCCCAGCGCATGCTTCCGCGCGCCGCAACCACTGGCGGAGTTCCCCGCACGCTAATTCGTGGGCGCTCGTGGGCGGCGCTGGAGTTTCAGATGGCGAAAGAGCCGCCGCATCAGGCGGAGCTGGTTCCATGCACGAAAGGCCTCCCCACTATAGAAAGCAGCGGCAGTGGCAGTGGCAGCGGCAGCGGCGGCGGCGGCGGCAGCAATAGGGGTAGGGGAAAGGGCAGCGGCAGCAGTAAGGGCGGTAGTTCCGCGCAGCACCACTCCGCCGTTCTCTCCGCAGCGGATTCCCCGCGGTCGCGCGCGGCCGCCCCTCCGCTCTCCGCCATGGGCAGGGCAAGCTCCGCCGCTGCGGGCGGCGCGCAGCGGAGTTCCTCCGCGCTCCCCCACGAGCGGAACCTGCTTTCCGATCTCCCCGTTTTAGCAAAGAGGGCTCTTGTAAATGCGGCGCAGGCGCAGGAGGGAGCGGGCGGAATCTCTGCCGGCGCACCAGGCCTGTCCCGAACCTCCTCGGCTCGGCAGCTGTACGTTCGGAAGATGCTGCTAGACCTTGCGGCGCAGAGCGACGAAGCGAGCGAAGGAGGTTCGGCATCCGGGTCGGGACACGCTAGCCCGTCTATGGCGGCGGAAGGGGGGAGCGGAACGAGCGGAAGCGGAAGCGGGAGGCTACTCGCCAGGCGGGGAGACTTGAGGCGGTCGGCGTCGGGCAGGGAGCACGCGGGCAGGCGGGTGGGGGTGATGGCGCAAGATGGCGCGGAGACGGCGCAACTGGCAGCGGTCAGGCGCTCTGCTTCCGCGCGCTATCAGCCCGCCTCGCGCCTCTCCGTAGACTTTAGCGCTGCTCCGGGGGGGCTGACAGGCGGAGAAAACGGCGGATCTGGGGGAGGTAGTACATGTGTCGCGGGAGCACTGGGGGAAGCGGGGATGATGGGGGGAAAGAGCGGAGGGGGTTCCGCCCGGGGGAGGCCTCTGGGGCGCTCTGCCTCGTACAGGGAAATGCAGGGGGGTCACCCGCGAATGCTGGAGTTACCGTCGATTTCTGGGGGGGCGATTTCTGGGGGGATTTCGGGCGCTGCTGCTGCTGCTACAACAGCAGCAGCAGCTGTACTAGAGGCACACCTTGTCCCATCTACAGTGAATGTAGGTGATGCTGGTGGTGGGGCTGATGGGGATGATGATGATGACGATGCGGATCTGTTTGACATTCTCGCGGCTATGAGGAGTATGCAGACCAGCCCGCACTCTCCAAACCTCCTCTCTCCCCTCTCTCCGAACCTTCTCTCTTCAAACCCCATCTCTCCTAACCCCATCTCTCCACACCTCACCTCTCCATTCCCCGCCTGCCCCCTTCGCTCCCCAGTGCCCCTTTCCCCTTCACCCGCCAACTCCCCCCGAGTCCCCTATCCGTACTCTTGCGACCCCTCACCTCCTCCCCGCTCTCCTCATTCCCCCTTCTCCCCCTCTCCCTCTCCCTCTCCCCTCCTCCGCTCACCCTCGCCCGCCTCTCGCTCCCCCTCCCCCCCGTCTCGCACCCGACCCCACCCAAACCACCCCCCCTCCATTTCCCTGACTCACAACACCATCCCCACACGCTCCCCCTTCCAACTCCATCCTTCCATTACCACTCATCCCTACGACGACTCCCCCCCTCGCTCTCCACCCCTCTCCCCCTGCGGCTCGTCCCTCGACTCCTCCCCCCGCTCCCCACCCCTTACGCCTCCTCGCAACCGTCGCCGCTCTTTCCAGGTCCCCTCCCGTGCCCCCTCTCACTCAGCATCATCCTCATTGGCTCGACCACAGCACCGCCGCCATTCAACCAGCGAGGATAGGCCTCTCAATTTCACTCACCCTGCCAGTCGTCGGAGTGGCAGCGGCAGTGGCAGTGGTGGTCCCTTCGCTGCTGCTGCTGCCAGTACTCATGGCTCGTCTGCTTCCTCTGGTGCTGCTGCTGCTCGTGCGTTCGCCATGTCGCGTAGTCTGAATTCTGGCTCGTCTGCTGCTGCTGCTGCTGCAGCTGTGAAAGCGGCTGGAGCGAGGAGGGGGCAAGCAGGCATGAGGGATGGGGCAGGGTGGTATTTGGGAGGTGCCGGTAACGGCATCGGCAATGGTAACGGCGGTGGTGATTTGGGTGGACGGGCATTTGGTAGAACACGAACACAGCCATCAGAGCGGGCATCACATAGCAATGGGCGATGAAGGTGTATTTATAGTGTTTGTCAATATGTTGCGTAGTCCTTGTGCTCATCTTGTGCATAATTATTTTTTCGAGTCTCTCTATTGTAGGAGACAACACATTTGCAAGTACTTCAACATGAGAACTGCGTACAACGATTGTATCGGAAGGTCGGAAGACAGCTCCAACCACGTACAAAAAGGGCGTGCCTTGAAAGTTCGTTCTGCGGTTAGATGTGGTGCTTTGCGCTCTAGAGTGTTTTGTCATACATAAAAAATGGTTGGGTAGATTTTTTTGTGGAAACTAAACTCTTCTGACACGCCCCATAGGCGTGCTTGCGTCAGCAGCCCCAGAAATTGAATGCTGGAAGCTTCCGAGCAGTCACCTGAACCTGACACCTTGCAGGGGGTTTCTTTCTCGCCGACCAATTGACGAGACCTAAGTCCCCTCGCGAATCCGCGCGCACCGCGCTTCCTGAGTTCGCGAAAAGCCGTTTCCAGGGGTTTTTAGATTACCGGTAACCCTTACTAGCGTTTTACTCTTTGGGATCACGTTTAGCCCCTATTACGGAAGGGTTTCTCGCCGATCAAACCCCCCAGGGACAGTTTTTTGTTCTTCGAGGTTAGTTCTCTCCACAGCGAACCACGTGTAACAATCTCCTTCATCTTGGGCAGAGGGCAGAAACAATAAAACCCTTATGGGCCTGGCATGGCATTCTGGATGGCATCAACCCTAAACTCGCAAAAGGGCCACGAATTTAGGGTTGATGCCCACCAGAATGGCATACTCGCCCCTATGGGTTTTAGTTTTTTTCTTGCCAGCTAGCCTGCCCGAATGTTGTCAGCCATTTTCAGTAGCACTACAGATCCCACAATATCGCAGGAAAACAGAGTTCAGTAGCCCCAAAGTGACGGAGCAAGGAGATTGTGACGCGTGGTCTTCTGTGGTGCGAACTAACCTCAAAGAACAAAAAACTGGCCCGGGAGGGTTGGAACAATGAGAAATCCTTCCGTGAAAGGGCTAAATGTTACTCAAAAGAGTAAAACTCCAGTAAGGGTTACCGCTAACCTAAAAACCCCGTTTCCAGGGTTTTGGCTCCCTTGACGACCACAACCTCCAGTGGTGCGAAATCCACCACGTGGCGGTAGTTCGAGCGTTCGTTTGTCCCACATGAGGAAATGGATGGTGGAAGATGGGCCCACCATACAGTTCACTGTACAGTAACACCGCTTGCTCAACTCCGTTCCGCCCCGCATCCGCACCTCGACCGAACTTCCGCACTTCCGCCGTTCAGTGTGAAGCTGGTGTGATGTGAATGTCGGTGAGGGGGTGTCCCGCATATAAACCCTACTTAACCGTTCCAGATTGTTATAGAAAGTATTTGAATCGCATAAACTCGTACCCAACCGCAATAAAACGTACACGCGGGACACGCCCTGCCCTGAGTAAGGAATGGTTCTCGTGGCATGAATGGTGCTCAGCGTTGTAGGAGCAGCGAGTGGCACACGAGCCTAGGAGCAGACTCTATTTTTTTATGCAGCTGCCTCGTCCATTCAATCCAGGAATTTTCAGCAGCAGTCCCTGATTTGCCGCACTTGCCGCTACTAGTCAAAGTCCTAGCACCGTTCCTGGCGGCGGGGGACTGATCCCTTCATTGCAGTTAGACATAACTTCCTCGCACTTGCGGTTCGTTGCGTGCGGTTCGTTGCTTGCCGTTCCTTCTGCAGATTCGCTCCATCACGTTGAGCGCCTCATGCACTTGGTTGCGGATATCTACCTGTTGGCCCCCGTTTTTCCGCGGACTGGTGGCTTTGTTGCCGGCAGACTGTAGCACGCACCGCTGTAGCTCGCACCAGCCTTAGTACTGCGCAAGGGATTTAGCACGTGGCAGCTTTTAGTGCTTGTTATCCAGGGCAGGCGAGGACCGACCGGGCGAGGACCGACCGGCCATTATGAACCGTCAGGAGCAGATAGAGGAACGCGCGGGGAGCGAAGAGGCCGAGAGGCTGCATCCAGACGGTCCATCTGCAGGTACAAGTCGCGGATGTTCGCCACGTGTCCTCTTTGGCGCAAGTTTCTGAAATTTCGCCCTCGGTTTATCTTGCACTGCTCTCACGTGTATGCTACGGTCCGGGAGAGAAGTCAGCATGCTTCCTTGTTGCCTCTTTCTTCTCAGCGAGTCTCCTTTCAACAACTCGTCACCGCTCCTCACCGCTCCTCACTTGCTCTCCACTAGCTCCTCACTTCCCCTCCTCACCGCTCCTCACCGCTCCTCACTTCCCCTCCTCTTCCACCTGCTGAATTTGCGATTCCTCCCGCTCCGTCCGTCCCCTTCCCTCCCCGTTCCTTCCCGCCCCTGATCTAATTTCTTGATTCGGTAGCCATTCACATGAACGGCCACGCTAATGGCCACGCAGAGAGTCACGAAACAACTCGGATGCTAAACGGCGACTCTCACGTCGTGGTTGACGTTGACGGTAACGCTAACGGTAACGGACTGGCGACCGTTGGCGCTGAAATCTCCGCGAAGCAACACTCGAAGGGGAGCAGGAGGGGAGGAGGAGATGGGGAGGGGGGAGAGGAGGGAGGGGATGGGTGTGAGGGAGGAGAGGGGGGAGGGGGAGGAGGGAGAGGCATGGGGGGGATGTACCATCGCAAGAGCAGGGTGATGGATAAGAGCCACACGATGAGCGGATACTGCAAAAAGAACATCACCGATACAATCACAGTCAAGGTGAGATTCGATGCAAGCACAGTCAAGAACAGGGTGATGGATAAGAGCCACACGATGAGCGGATACTGCAAGAAGAACATCTCCGGTACTATCACAGTCAAAGTGAGATTCGATACCAGCACCACGAATGGGAGGATCTTATATTCCCGCAGTTTCCATGACGAATCAGCGCATGGCGGACGCCCGCCACAGTCATGTATCTCTTCCCTCGTCTGTGTATCTCTTCCCTCGTCCGTGTATCTCTTCCTTCGTCTGTGTATCTCTTCCCTCGTCTGTGTATCTCTTCCCTCGTCTGTGTATCTCTTCCCTCGTCTGTGTATCTCTTCCCTCGTCTGTGTATCTCTTCTCTCGTCTGTGTATCTCTTCCCTCGTCTGTGTGTCTCTTCCCTCGTCTGTGTGTCTCTTCCCTCGTCCGTGTATCTCTTTCCCTCATCCGTGTATCTCTTCCCTCGTCCGTGTATCTCTTCCCTCGTCCGTGTATCTCTTCCCTCGTCCGTGTATCTCTTCCCTCGTCCGTGTATCTCTTCCCTCGTCCGTGTATCTCTTCCCTCGTCCGTGTATCTCTTCCCTCGTCTGTGTGTCTCTTCCCTCGTCTGTGTATCTCTTCCCTCGTCTGTGTGTCTCTTCCCTCGTCTGTGTATCTCTTCCCTCGTCTGTGTATCTCTTCCCTCGTTTTCCTTCCCTCCTCTCCCTCGTCTCCCTCGTCTCCCTCGTCTCCCCCGGGTGACCTTTGAGTCGACTCATGAGTCACCTCGAATCAGTGCATGGCGGACGTCCCGGCTCTCCTCTGTATCGACTCCCTTGCTTTCCCTCCATCCCCTCGCCTCCTTCCCTCCCCCCCCCCCCCCCCCCCCCTCCCCGCCTCCCCTCGCCCCCCTAACCACGCAACCTTCCCTCCTCTTTCGCCCCTTCTCCCCAACCCGCCCCCCTTCCTCTCCCCGTACCCCACGCCCCGCTTCAGTTTAGGGACGTCCGTTTCAAGGTGCAGGTCTCCAAGCCCGGCTCCTGGGACCCGCGCCACTCCTGGTCCCTCAACCCCCCCGCTCTCCCCGTTTCCCACCCAATCCACTCCCCGTATCCCTGCTCCCCCCATATCCCCCTCCCCCCTCTCCCCCCCCCCCTTCAGTTTAAGGACGTGCGCTACAAGGTCCAGGTTTCCAAGCCCGGCTCCTGGGACCCGCGCCACTCCTGCCTCCCCACGCTCCCCCCTCTCCCCGCGTTCCTCACCCCCAAGCGCGGGGAAATCGCGGGCGGGGGAGGCGCGGGGGGAGGAGGCGCAGGGGGAGCGGCGGAAGGGGAGGCGGGGGGGAAAGGGGGAGCGGAGGTGCGGGAGAAGGAGATTCTGCACGGGATAAGCGGGAGCGTGGCGCCAGGGGAGGTGTTAGCTATGATGGGGCCATCTGGGGGAGGTAAAACGACGTTTCTGAACGTGCTGGGAGGGCGGTTCAAGCAGGCGAACATGGCGGGGACGTTGACTTACAACGACCTGCCTTATAGCAAGGCGCTCAAGAGAAAGTGAGTGTGGGAGAAGGAGTGTGTGGGGTGGCGGGAGGTGGTTGGTGGGAGGTGGTTAGCAGGGGGTGGTTGGAGGGGAGACGGTTCTGAAGGGGAGCAGTAAGGCAACGTTTCTGAACGAGCTGGGAGGGCGGTTCAGGCAGGCGACCATGTCTGGGACCTTGACTTACAACGACCTGCCTTGCAGCAAGGCGCTCAAGAGAAAGTGAGTGTGGGAAGAGGGAGATGTGCCCTTTTTTATGTGTGTGCCAGACTACAAAATCTAGACGGTCACAAAACCAAACCGCAAAACCCCCCTCCCCTCTCCCCCCCCCCCACTCTCCGCGGGCCCGCCCTCTAATGGTCCGCAAGACCCTCCCATCATGTATGCCGCCGTGCGTTGCCCGCCCTCGGAGCTCAGCTGCTGTTGTCGCTGTCCTGTTCCGCTCTTGCTGACGTGGTCAAGAAGATGGCTCTCTCTCTCTCTCTGGCAGGCTGGGCTTTGTGACACAGGACGTCATTTTCGTTCCCCGCCTGACCGTGCGAGAGACCCTCACGTATGCTGCCGTGCTGCGGCTACACCCGGGGCTGAGCGCCCTTGTTCTCTCTCTCTTTTCCCTCCGCTCTTGATCTCTGTGTCGGCTGGCTGGCAGGCTGGGCGTTGTCACTCGGGACATCTTCTCTCCCCATCTGACAGTCCTTGATTTTGCAGGGTGTTTTTGAGAATTCTCAAAAACACCCCATCTGACAGTCCGCACCGCAAGACCCTCATGCATGCCGCTGTGCTGCGGCTGCCAAGGAGCTCAGCTGCCTCCCTCTCTCTCTGCCTCTTCCCTTTCCGCTCTGCCACACCTTGTGTACCTCCGCCACTACCAGGTTGGGCTTTGTGACGCAGGACGACATCTTCTTCCCCCACCTGACCGTGCGAGAGACCCTCATGTACGCCGCGGTGCTGCGGCTCCCCAAGGAGTTGAACTGGGCGGAGAAGGTGCAGCGCGCCGACGAAGCAATTACCGAGCTTGGGCTGGACAAGTGAGTGGTAATGGGCAGAGGGGGGGGGGGGGAGCGCATGCGTGTGCCGCTGCGCTGCTGTGCTGCAGCTGCCCAAGGAGCTCAGCTGGGTGGAGAAGTTGCAGCGCACCGATGAGGCCATCACTGAGCCGGGGCTGGACAAGTGGGTGGCTGGGGAAGGGGGGAGCAGGGGGGGGAAGGGGGGGGCAGGGGGGAGCAGGGGGGAGCAGGGGGGAGCAGGGGGGGGCAGGGGGGGGCAGGGGGCAAGCAGGTGAGTGTTGTTTTTTGAGGCCTGGACTCCACCACCACGTTCCAAATCATCCAAGTCATCCAGAGCCAAAATTAGAGGCTCCACCCCCCTCTCTTACCTCCTGGATCCCCCGCCCTACCCGCCCTACCCGCCCTACCCGCCCCTCTGAACACCCCCAGGTGCCGCAACACAGTCATAGGTGGGCCGTTCCTTCGCGGCATATCAGGCGGGGTTTTTGAGGCGCCTCAAAAATCGTCTCCTGGATCCCCCGCCCTACCTGTCCTTCTCTGATCGGAACACCATCCCCAGGTGCCGCAACACAGTCATAGGCGGGCCGTTCCTTCGCGGCATCTCAGGCGGGGAGCGCAAGCGCGTGAGCATAGGCCACGAGATCCTCATCAACCCGTCCATGCTGCTGCTGGACGAGCCCACCTCCGGCCTGGACTCCACCACCGCCCTCCGAATCATCCAAGTCATCCAGAACCTTGCCAAGTCCGGCCGCACCGTCATCACCACCATCCACCAGCCGTCCTCGCGGCTCTTCCACGCTTTTGACAAGCTGCTGCTCTTATCGGAGGGGAATGCGATATTTTTCGGGCAGGCGGCGGCTGCCATGGGGTACTTTGGGGGGCTGGGGTTTGAGCCGCTGTTTGCGACCAACCCGGCGGATTTTTTGTTGGATCTGGCGACGGGGACGACGGCGGATGTGAGCCTGCCGGCTGTGTTTGGGGAGAGCGAGGAGTGGAAAGGGAAGAGCGTGCCGGAGCAGCAGCACGACGTGAAAGAGGTGAGCTGGCTGCTGCTGTCTGTATGGTGTGTGTGAGCTGGCTGCTGCTGTCTATTTTTGAGGCGCCTCAAAAGTGGAAACTATTTTTGAGGCGCCTCAAAAGTGGAAACTATTTTTGAGGCGCCTCAAAAGTGGAAACTATTTTTGAGGCGCCTCAAAAGTGGAAACTATTTTTGAGGCGCCTCAAAAGTGGAAACTATTTTTGAGGCGCCTCAAAAGTGGAAACTATTTTTGAGGCGCCTCAAAAGTGGAAACTATTTTTGAGGCGCCTCAAAAGTGGAAAGGGAAGAGCGTGCCAGAGCAGCAGCACGTCGGAAAGAGGTGAGCTGGCTGCTGCTGTCTGTATGGTGTGTTTGAGCTGACTGCTGCTGTCTGTATGGTGTGTGTGAGCTGGATGTGAGCCTGCCAAGCCAGTTTGGGGAGAGCGAGGAGTGGCGGGGGAAGAGCGTGCCAGAGCAGCAGCACGACGTCAAAGAGGTGTGTTGATTCCTTGCTTGGTTTTGTTGCCACCTACTATTAAAGCATCCTCGTCGATTTCTCTCTCCCCCCCCCTCCCCTCCCTCCTTCCCTCCCCCCCACTCTCGCAGTGCACGCTGCTTTCGATACTCAGGAACTAATACTACTCCCCAACCCCCACCCGACCCCCATATCTCTCGCTCCAATTCGTCGCACGCTCTCACAGGGAGCAGCAACAGCACCTGGTGCACGCTGTGACTTTTGAGTCGACTCAAAAGTCACCTCGCGCTCACAGGGAGCAGCAGCAGCCGTTGGTGCGCGCAGCGTCCAACAATTTCAGAAACTATTACTACTCGCCACCCCCACCCGACCCTCATACCTCCCCCTCCACTTCGCCACATGCGCTCACAGGGAGCAGCAGCAGCAGCAGCAGCCAGCGGTGCTTGCTGCCTCTGAAAGAAACTCGTGCCTCAGAGGCAGAAGTTTCAGCGTTTCAGAATCGAAACTTATGCCTTCAATTCACCCACACTTGATCCTCCCCAATTGGATCCCCTTCCCCCTTCCACTCCCCCTCTCCAGTTCGTGGCGCGCGCTCACATGGAGCAGCAGCAGCTGTTGGTGCACGCTGAGCTGGCAGGGCTGCCTGCCAGCTCGGATGCCGACCAGAAGAGCGTGCTGCAGAGGAGGGGGTGGACGGCGCCCTGGCTGCTGCAGTTCTCGGTGCTGTGGACCCGAGGGCTCAAGGAGAGGAGACATGAAGCGTTATCCCCTCTACGGTTCTACCAGGTTAGTTAGTGTGCGGATGGATGGTGGTAGAGCCAACACACTCAGACACCTCCCCCGGTGCTGCAGAGGGTGGGGGGGACGGCCCCCTGGCTGCTGCAGTTCTCGGTGCTGTGGACCCGAGGGCTCAAGGAGAGGAGACATGAAGCGTTATCCCCTCTACGGTTCTACCAGGTTAGTTAGTGTGCGGATGGATGGTGGTAGAGCCAACACACTCAGACACCTCCCCCGGTGCTGCAGAGGGTGGGGGGGACGGCCCCCTGGCTGCTGCAGTTCTCGGTGCTGTGGACCCGAGGGCTCAAGGAGAGGAGACATGAAGCGTTATCCCCTCTACGGTTCTACCAGGTTAGTTAGTGTGCGGATGGATGGTGGTAGAGCCAACACACTCAGACACCTCCCCCGGTGCTGCAGAGGGTGGGGGGGACGGCCCCCTGGCTGCTGCAGTTCTCGGTGCTGTGGACTCGTGGCTTAAAAGAGAGGAGACATGAAGTGCTATCCCCGCTCAGGTTCTACCAGCTTAGTGTGTAGCAAAGGGGGAAGAGTGAGGGGGGGGAGGGTGGGTGGACGGCCTCCTGGCTGCTGCAGTTCTCGGTGCTGTGGACCCGAGGACTCAAGGAGAGGAGACACGAGGACTCAAGGAGAGGAGACACGAGGTTTTATCGCCTCTGCGGTTCTACCAGGTTAGTTTCTACATGGTAGAGCCAATGCGTCGCGATGCACAGGTGCTGCAGTGGAGGGGGTGGACGGCGCCCTGCCTGCTGCTGCAGTTCTCGGTGCTGTGGACACGTGGACTCAAGGAGAGGAGACATGAAGTGTTATCCCCTCTACGGTTCTACCAGGTGGGTGTGCGGATGGATGGTGGATTCGACACACCAACGCACCTCACCTCACCTGTGCTTCGGAGTAGAGAGAAAGACTCTTAAGGGCTGCAGAGGGTGGGGTGGGGTGGACGGCCCCCTGCCCCTGGCTGCTGCAGCTCTCGGTGATGTGGACTCGAGGATTGAAGGAAAGGAGGCATGAGGTTCTCTCGCCTCTTCGGCGCCAGCAGGTGTGTGTACAGTGCTGCTGACATTCTTGGCGACCTGCGTGGCATGCTGTGGTTGGATGTCTCCGCGGCATTGTCACGCGCCTCAACCCCCCCCCTCCCACCCACCCCCCCGGTGTCCACCCCATCAGCAGGTGATAGCGCTGGGGCTCATCTGCGGCATGCTGTGGTTCGGCGTGGTATGAAACCCCTTAATGTTTGGTGCTTGCTTCTCTCCCTCTGTGCCCCCGCCATCCCATGCTCACCTGATCAGGTGATAGCGCTGGGGCTCATCTGCGGCATGCTGTGGTTTGGCTCGGAGCGCAACACCGCCATGGAGATTCAGGATCAGGTGAGAACTCAGATGCAGGGTCAGGTGAAAACTCAGATGCGGTCAGGTGAAAACTCAGATGCGGTCAGGTGAAAACTCAGATGCGGTCAGGTGAAAACTCAGATGCAGGGTCAGGTGGAAACTCAGATGCAGGGTCAGGTGAGAACTTAGATGCAGGGTCAGGTGAAAACTCAGATGCAGGGTCAGGTGAAAACTCAGATGCAGGGTCAGGTGAATGTTCCATCTCCAATGCCTATCAGAGCTGAGTGCAGTTGGAAAGTTTAGTAGAGCCGCTTTATATATCGGTGTCCCTTGCCCTGACTCCTCTTCTGCCCCCTTCAGGTCGGATTGCTCTTCCCCATCTTCCTCATGAATCCTCATCTCCATCTTCCGGGCCGTCTTCCCTCTCTTCGCTTCCTTGTTGCCTTCTCTTTCTTTCGCTTCACTCCCCCCCTCCGTGTCACACATCCCTCACCCCTTCTAGCACCACGTGGGGCTGCTCTTCTTTTATCTCCATCTTCCGGGCCGTCTTCCCTCTCTTCGCTTCCCTGTCGCCTACTCTTTCTTTCGCTTCTCCCCCCCTCCATGTCACACATCCCTCACCCCTTTCTAGCACCACGTGAGGCTGCTCTCCATCTCCATTTTCCGGGCCTTCTTCCCTCTCTTCGCTGCCTGTGAGGCACCTAATAACCGCTTCCCGCTCCCCTTATATCCCCTCTCCTCTCTCCGCACACCAGGTGGGGCTGCTCTTCTTCATCTCTATCTTCTGGGGCTTCTTCCCTCTCTTCGCTGCTATCTTCACCTTTCCCCAGGTAAGCGTCACACTGCCTTGAGCAATCCAATCCCTATGCTCCTCCCTCTAGGTGCCTGCCAGGGTTTTTAGGCCCACACTCCCCTTTGGCTGACGTCACCTTGCCCCAGCCAACCGTTTTTTCAGGCGCCTCAAAATTCTTCCTGTATTAAAACGGCGGATAAAAGAGATGACTTTTGAGGCGCCTCAAAGCCGCGGATAAAGAGACGACTTTTGAGGAGCCTCAAAACCGCGGATAAAGAGACGAATTTTGAGGCGCCTCAAAACCGCGGATAAAGAGACGTCTTTTGAGGCGCCTCAAAACCGCGGATAAAGAGACTGCTTTTGAGGCACCTCAAAATCGCGGATAAAGAGACGTCTTTTGAGGCGCCTCAAAAGCCCTTCGGCTGTCGTCACCTTGCCCCAGCCAACCGTTTCGTTACAGCTTCTGAGAATTCTTTAAAATCAGCTTTTGCTGAAACGTTAAGGTACATCCAGGTTTGCTCTGATGAGCGTTCTTGGGCGCTTTTCCGTGCGTCTCTTGCCATTACAAACGTGTCAGTCCATCCCGTGCGCTTTTCCGTGCGTACTTTACTTTCCGTACGTACGTACTTGCGCGCTTTTCCGTGTCATCTCCGGCTTTTACGTACTTGCATCCCATACCACCAGCAGTGACATGTGAGCATGCGAGTGACATGTGAGCATGCGAGTGACATGTGAGCATGCGAGTGACATGTGAGCATGCGAGTGACATGTGAGCATGCGAGTGACATGTACCGCCTGTCAGTGTACTACCTCGGCCGCATGCTCTCCGACCTGGGCCCCCATGGAGTGGCTTCCATTTACCCTCCTTTCCTCTCCCTTTTCACCGTGTTTCACCCCTCTCCACCCCACACAATGCACTGTATCGTCAGGAACGCGCAATTCTAGCCAAGGAGCAGGCGAGCGACATGTACCGCCTGTCAGCGTACTACCTGAGCCGCACCATCTCAGACGTCTAGTTTTGAGGCGCCTCAAAACTAGACTTCTATCACGCACCATCTCAGACGTCCCTCTCCATGGAGTGGCTGCTCCCCACCATCTTCCTCCTCATGGATTGGCTCCCTCTTCACCCCTCTTCACCCCTCTTCACCCCTCTATCCCCCTTCCTTCCTTACCATCAGGAGCGTGCCATACTGGCGAAGGAGAGAGCCAGCGACATGTACCGCCTGTCGGCGTACTACCTGAGCCGCACGCTCTCGGACCTGCCCATGGAGTGGCTGCTCCCCACCATCTTCCTCCTCATCGCCTACTTCATGGCATCGCTCAAGCTCACTGCCGCAGCTTTCTTTGGACTGCTCTTCTCCACCTACCTTATTGTGACTACAGCGCAGGTGGGTGTGGTTGTGTGGTGCTCGTGGTGATTATGCGTGCTTTGACCCCTGCTCTCCTGCTCCCCACCACCTTCCTCCCCACCACCTTCCTCCTCATCACCTACTTCATGGCGACCCTCAAGCTCACCGCTGGGGCCTTCTTCAGCCTCCTCTTCTCCACCTACCTGATAGTCACCACAGCCCAGGTGGGCGCCCTATCTTGTGCATCAAATACATCTCCGTTTGAGGCGCCTCAGTAGTACTCCCCTACTAAGCGTACACCCTCATCATTGTCCCTCTTCCCTACTGGTCCTTGACTCCCATTCTCCCTGCAGGGCTGCGGGCTCTTCCTCGGAGCAGCAGTGATGGACGTCAGAGTGGCCACCACTCTCGCCTCTGTCCTCCTCCAGTTTTGAGGCACCTCAAAACTAGACTCGGAGCAGCAGTGATGGACGTCAGAGTGGCCACTGGCCACCAATCTCGCCTCTCTCCTCCTCCTCAGCTTCATGCTCCCCTTTCTATCCCCTCATTCCTCTTCCCTTCTTATTATCCTCCCCCAAACATACAGGGCTGTGGGCTCTTCCTTGGAGCAGCAGTGATGGACGTCAAGGTCGCCACCACACTCGCATCCGTGCTGCTCCTGACCTTCATGCTGGCGGGCGGCTACTACCTGCAGTCCATCCCGCCCTTCATCTCGTGGATCAAGTACATCTCCTTCACCTACTACGCCTACCGTCTCATCATCAAGACGCAGTTCTCCCCCTCCGACACGTTCCAGTGCGGCCCGCCGAGCGATCCGGCAGCTCTGATTTGTCCTATTTCGGCTGCGCCGTCGTTTAGGGGGTTTTCAGTGGCGGATGCATGGGTGGATGTGCTGGCGCTGCTAGCACAGGTGGTGTTTTATAGAGTGCTCGGGTACTTCGCACTAAGGAGGATGAAGACGAATGTGTAGATGTAGTGCATGGATTTTGTTGGAAATTATCAAAGGACTTACATACATTTTCGAAGTCTCGCGTGAGGGTAAGACATACGCGAAGACTACAAGAGCGAGGATTACCGAGTCAACACTGCTACAGCACCCCTGACGATTCACTTAAGTTGACGACACCTTACAGAGGTCATGACCGTGCAAACCAACAGTCAGAATCGCAAGAGTCAAGTATCAACGCGCCAATAAGGACAAATAACCTGTTATGATTTAGAAAATGTCAATGAACTATATCGTGAGAATACAAGGTCGCTATTGCAATGAAAGCACGAGGTTATATAGGAGTAGACGTAATAGGGCGATAACCTTGGGGCGTGAGTAGGTTCGGCAATGTGGCGACGCTGTCGAACGCGACTCGAGAAAGGGTTGGGCCGAAATGTAGGCCGAACGTGACGAGTCGAAGTGTTCGGGTGTACGCGGTAGCGGGCAACTCAGTAAGGAATGGAAATTCCTTACACTACCCCCCCCTCCTAAACGAGTCCGTGGGCATCGGAGACGTTACGACGCCGATAATACGCCGTTAGAATCGGATGTGATTCTAGGTCAACGAGAGGTACCCAGCTGTCGTCTTCGGACGTGCGATCGCGCCAGCGGACGAGGAAATCTACCATCCGATGGTTCAGCTGCGTTGTGACGCGATGGCCGAGGATTTTCAGGGGCTCGGTCGTTGGTTCCTGCAAAGGCGTTAGGTGCGGTACATCGCGGTTGCGTGCCAGGTCCGATGAACTCGGGACGTAGGGTCGGAGAAGACTGACGTGGAAAGCCGGGTGGTGGCGCCAATCAGCCGGTAGTCGAAGGTGAACAGTGACAGGTGTCACTAGGTTGGTCACGTGAAAAGGTCCGCAGAATCTGGGTCGGAGTTTGCTCGGGATCGGTAGCCGCAGATTGCGGGTGTCGAGGAGGACTAGATCTCCCACTTTGTAAGTGACGTCACGGCGATGACGATCGGCTTGTCGGCTTGCAACCAGGTTGGCTTTTCGGATGGCTTCAGCTGCTTTTTCTCGAGCGGCGAGAATGTCTTCAGCAAATTTCCGGGACCGAGGCACGGGTGACTCGATTGTCGGGGTAGAGGGTACGACTGGGCCCTGTCCGTAGTTGAGGAAGAATGGAGATTGGTTGGTTGTGGCGGAGGTCGCGTTATTATACGCGAATTCTAACAGCGGAAGGGATTTCTCCCATGTCGATGGGTCAGTACAGTAGTACGAATCAGTTGCTCCATGGTCTGGTTGACGCGTTCGGTCTGCCCATCGGTCTGTGGGTGGTAGACGGATGAAAATTGGAGTTTGGTGCCGAATTGGTCCCACAGGTGGCGCCAGAAATTCGATGTGAATTTCGGGTCTCGGTCGGAAGTGATGGCGGAGGGCAGTCCGTGCAGTCGGATGACATTCGCGAGGAACAGTTGCGCGGTCTGTTCGGCGGTGATTGTCTGTTGGCAGGCGATGAAGTGCGCCATTTTCGTGAGTCGGTCAACGACCACGAGGATGGCGTCGTTTCCGCTGGAACCGGCCGGTAGTCCTGTTACGTAGTCCATCGTAACTTGTTGCCAGGGTCGCTCAGGCGGATCCAACGGCTGTAGTAGTCCGGCTGCTCGCTGATGCGACGATTTCATGATCTGGCAGGCAGTGCAGGAGGACACGTACTTGCGCACGTCATCGGCCATGTTCGGCCAGTAGTAATTCCGCTGCAACATCTTCGTGGTTTTATCGACGCCGAAATGCCATGAGGTAGGGTTGTCGTGGGATTCCTGGATTAGGAGGGTACGAAGTAAATCGTAGCCTGGCACCCAAATGCGAGAAGTACCACGCTTATAAAAATATGGCCCGGTGGCTGTGGTATGCTGTTGATGGATGGCTGAGCGGAAAAAGGGATCGATCTTGTAGCCGTGGGTGAATAGTCCCGTAAGTAATGGGCTGGTCTGGGCGATTAGTATCGCGGCGGTATGGACAGTAGGGCGGGTCAAGGCATCGGCGATATTATTGGCACCCCGTTTGTAGGTGATGGTGTAGTGGAAGTTGGACTCGAGGAAATCGAGCCATCGGATCTGTCGTGGGTTGAGATTCGGTTGGGCGCGCAGGTACTGTAAGGATTTGTGGTCCGTCCGCACCGTGACATCAGCTCCGGTCAGGTAGCACCGCCAGGTCTTGAACGCGTGGACGATCGCCAGCATTTCCTTGTCGTGGACTGTATAATTTTTTTCCGCGCCCTGCAGCTTCCGTGATTCGTAGGCGACTGGTTGTAACCCGTCGCCGAAGTCCTGGAGGAGAACTGCACCGATGGCGATGTCGCTGGCGTCGGTGATGACTTCGTATGGACGGTCGGGATCGGAGATGCGAAGTACGGGCGGCGACGTGAGGGCGATTTTGAGTTGGTCGAATGCAGCTTGCTGCTTCTCTCCCCACCAAAAACAGTCGTGATCCTTCAGCCGGTCAGTTAGAGGAGCAGATAACCCCGCCATATTGGGGATGAATCGGCGGACGTAGTTGACGAAACCTAGAAAGCTTTGCAGTTCCTTGAGGTTGGTCGGCGGCTTCCAGTCCTGTATAGTCTTGATTTTCTTGGGGTCGATTTTCACTCCTTCGGTAGAGACGACGTGTCCCAAAAACTCCAACTCTTGCTTAAGAAAATCGCACTTAGACCCTCTCGTGATGAGTCGATTCTTGTGCAGCAGCGTGAAGACTGCATCAAGATCCTTTAAGTGCTGCTCCCTGCTGCGGCTGTAGATTAGGATGTCGTCGAGGTAGATAATTACGCATTTATCCAGGAGTTCGCGGAAAACACCGTTCATGGTCATCTGAAAAGTCGAGGGCGCGTTCGTGAGCCCAAAAGGCATCACCAAGTATTCGTAACTGCCGTAGCGGGTTCGGAAGGCGGTCTTGTGGCAATCGTCGGCGGCGACGCGAATTTGGTGGTAACCTCCTCGCAGATCGATTTTCGAGAAGAACTTGGCTCCGCGAAGTTGGTCGAGTAGGTCGTCGGCTCGCGGGATCGGGTAACGGGACTTGATGGTGATGCGGTTGAGTACGCGGTAGTCGATGCACAAACGGAATCCGCCATTTTTTTTCGGTGTGAACAGTATGGGGGCGGCGTATGGGGATGTGCTTGGGCGGATAAAACCTTTCGTCAGGAGGTAATCCAACTGCTGCTGCAATTCCTTGAGTTCCGGTTAGCTGAGCCGAAATTGTCGCTGTACTGTCGGTTGTGCGCCTGGTTCCAGCTCGATGCGATGGTCTTCGGGTCGGCTTGGCGGAAGTCCGGCTGGTAGGTCGTCCGGGAAAATCTCGGGGTATTTTCGAATGAGTTCCGCTAAATCCGGAGGAACGGCTTCACACAGCTTCGTGATATCTTCCGCTGTTATCGGCGACGTCACTTCGCGAAGATCGACGGCGTATGCTGCTGCTCCCGCTTTTATCGCGCGCTTGAAGGTGATCGCGTGGACTTGGGTACTTCGCATGCGGGGTCCCGTCCATTTCGGTAACTCGTGATAGTGCCCATCGATCTTGATGCTGCAGCTGCCCGTCGTCCAGTCGATTCTCGGGTTGTACTGTCGCAGCCAATCTCGTCCCAGCAGCACATTGCACCCGTCGAGTGTAGTCGCCAGCAGCCCCATCCGAAATTTTACGTGCTCACCGCAGTGGAAACTGATGTGCTCCACCCGCTCCCGTATAGCCAGCGGTGTTCCATCCACCATTCTTGCGTCAATTTCGGGTAGGCACTTTAATAAGGGGATACCCATTTTCTTAGCCCTGTCTAGCTGTATGAGACTGTGACTCGCGCCTCCATCCACGAATATTTTCAGCAACACCCTGTTGACTTTACCCTCCACCAACACAGGGTGATCAGCAGTTTCGTCCCCCTTATTCGTCCGGGTCCGGTCGATTGCAGCAATCGGGATCACGACCCGGTGGGGACTGTGTGGTTCGGGCGGAGAAGCCTGCCCGTCAGTAAGGGGCCCGGTACTTACTGACGCGACCCATTTCCCGGTCGCTCCTCCGGCTTCTTCCCCATAGAATTCTGGGTGGCTATGAACTCTTGGCAGTTGCGTTTGATGTGACCCGGTCGGCCACAGTGGTAGCATAGCCCCGTATTTCGCGGAGCAACTGCGTAAATATCCACTGCGTCCATCCCTTTTATCGTGGCGCGCTGGTACTGTTCTCGAGGGCGACCTCCGTCGTAGAAGTTCGTCCTCGGCTTCGTGAGCGAGTCAGCGGCTTCGGCGAGTTGGATGAAGTCTTGTAACCGCTTCGCAGGTCGTTGTAATTTTATTTGGTACTGTATTTCAGGCTTCAGCCCGCCCATGTACCTGTCGACCTTCTCCAACTCGTGCATGTAGCCACATCGATCCACCAACGTCAAGAATGACGCGGTGTAGTCAGACACAGATCCCAGCTATTTCCACATGCGTAAAGTCTCGCGCGCTTTGTCTGAGTCAAGGGCATGCTCAAACCGCTTGCGAAGCTCTGCGCACCACGTTGCCCACGTGCGAATGTGAGTTGCACCAAACAGCAAATCGGCTTCGTCTTCGTCGCCGAATTCTTCGGACCACTCATGCTGTCCTTCTGTGTGAGTTGCCGTTGAGTCGACGATGACCTTCCACCACTGTAGGGCGGCCCCTTGTAGCAGTGTCAACGCGTGGCTGATCCGCTTCTGGTCGTCTCGGATGCCCGCCGCGTTAAAGTAGATATTCATGGCGAATATCCACTGCCGCACCGTCACGCCTTATTAGCTGGTTCGAAAGGAGCGGGTTGCTGATATCTCACGCCGCCACTTGTCGAGCGCGGGGCTGTCGCCGCTAGCCGTGCCAGCTCCACTGGTGTCGGTTGCTGCTCACCCGCCTCGCTTCGTGCATCGTCGCCCGGCTCCTCTGAACGCCTTTCCTGCGCCTGGCGAAGTCGTTGGTTTTCATCACGGAGGTTGTTGACGACGCTTGTCAAATTGTTCAACTGCTCCATTAATGCTTGCAGGTCTACTGTTTCCCGGGCAGAGTTCGCAGTAGTCGAGGTTGTCTGTTCCTCAACCGTCGA